GTGGCGTGGTTGGTCTGACTTTATTTTGCCGAAGGATAATGCCCTCAACGACTCATCTTTCAAACTTTGCAGGGGGGCCTTTTCAGTTACACATACCCTTTAATTTGTAAACAACATAGTCTTTCTGGCAAAGATACCAGTATTAGTACGAAAATACAGAACCTATGGTAGAAATAATGAAAAATAAAGAAGGCAGACCGCGGGAACATACTAAGCCCGCATGGAAAATAGAAAGGTAAAGCAATCAAAATTCAGACAGATACACATGGAACTGTGCGGAGACGTGAAAAATCTAGATAAATTTACATAGAAAACAAATGATTTCCAGATGGTTTTTGTCCCGTAGCAGGCCGGGCAGACACTGTCGGCTCGGGACACGACAGAGCGCCGAAACGGCCTCCCGATTCCACCCTCTATCATTAGTTAGCACAACTAAATTAAACAGAAAATATATACCGGGTGTAACTTTGAATACGCAGTAGTGTTGCGGGTTTGCCTACTCCTTACACGTAAGGGGCCATGGCCCCTGCGGCCATATTGAGTTTGCAATCCCGCAACACTGCTGCGTATTCGCAGTTACACCCGGTACACACCAAGAACCCCCGTGCAAAGTCAGTTGAAAGGATGAGTCATGGGCAATTCTCCTATCGCAATATCAAGGTAGCGGCCACGAATCTCAGTCACGCGACAATCAGAGGCCAGTGGCCGTAGGCACGGGTCCGCGGCGCCGAGGACGGGCCCCCCACCCGCACGGCGGCAGGTCGTCTCCTGACAGTCAAGTGGACTCACCAAGCAAGAGTCTATCCTGCCGCGCAACGTCAGACAGGCGGGTGGTGGCTTGAGGTGGAGCCGGGGTGGCAAAGGTGAGCCGGGCAGCCGGAAACGGAGCAGAGTGGCAAGAAAAGTTACAAGTTATTGTTGCAACTAGCAACAACTAAAACTACCCCCCCCCCCCAGTAATACTGCGTTCTTGGATCAAGAACATTGTAGTTGTTCCATAATTTTTCAAGTACGTATACCTTGAATCAAGACAGCGGCGGTGGCTTCCCGTAGGTCAGGACGCGGAGGGCGGGAGAAGACGGCGGCGGTTCGCACAGCGAGCCGCCCGGGAAGGTCGGGAAGGACCAGCCAGAGCCAGGTACGAGCCGGGGACTCGAATCACCCAGCAGGGTAGAGAGCGCAGAAACGTGACAAGGGGAAGACAACAAAAGACCATCGATCTGGGGGAGGCGGGGGCAGGGGCAGGGCAGGGGCTTGCATTTCACTTGGTAGTTTCTGCAGAATGATCGCAACATCGGCAGGGAACTTCTGAACATTCGCTGGCTGTCAGTTAGGGGGGGGGGAGATTTGCGGGTTCTTACACTAAAGTGCCGCGTATAAGCCAATGAAAATCACTACAACCAGCCAAAGGAATCGACGGAGCCGGCGTCCCCCGAAAACAACAATAACAAAAACAAAACAATAATAATAAACCAAATGCAGACCTACAAAACCAGCGGAAACAGTACAACTGAACCAGAAACACCGTGGACAACTGAGCGAACTGAGCAGTGAACTATCTCCCAAAACACGAAGAGAAAAACACGAGTAAACAACACAATTACACACACACACAATGTCATTTACTGGACCCAGATTTAACTCACTACTGCGCAGAATTCATCATAGACAATGGCGACGACAGCAGGCCAGTGGGTGCGGACGCTGCGCTGCAGAGGGGCCCGGGCCCGGCGTGGCAGGCACCGGCGACTTGGACACAACATCAACGTGTGCCCCCGGGAGCAACGGGAGGAAAACGCAACGCACCTGTCGGGGTTTCAGTGAAGGCATTGCAGCCAGGGCGGCGGGGATGTGGTTGATGTGGTTAATCCAAACTTCAACTGGTCACTCGCACGCGCACGAAACACTTCCCGTACGTCCGCACTCAACGCCAACGCGTCGTCGCCAGCACACTGACTGACTCTCGCACCTCTCGCTCTGCCGAGCGGCGCGCTGTCGTCTGCTGACCGGTGGCGGCGCGGAGCCAGAGTGCGGGGAGTTGCAAAAATGAATTCGTCGGGCGAGATCGAGCCGTGACAAAACGACGGGTAGCTTATGTTTTAAAATGTCAAAATCCCCACGTCAACACTAGTGGCATGTTTTGAAAGTAACTAGAATATTTTTGTTTTGCTGTCACAGAACTTCTGTTGAAGCACAATCGTGCACACTGAAAGTGCTGCATCTTTCTAGTTAGATGCGAAAGGGGCATCTTGCTGTATACTGTGCGCTACGGCAGAAAGAAAAGGGAACTAACAACTAACAACAAATCCAGAAAAGACGAACTTTCTTTAATCACATTTTCTCTCACAGAAGTATTCTGAGCAGATCATGATACTCTATGTCACAGTCTGCCTCATGAGCCAACTATTCAATTTCATGAAACAATCACATACGATTATTTTCGATTAACTGCATTCAGAGAGCGGATTGATGTTACAGACAACTTAGAATTAGAATTATTAGAAGAAACCCACACTTTTTGGCTATGACAACAGTAACTTCTCTTTATTAGAGGGAAAAAACAACAAAATTAGCAGGTATTTCAAAGTCAACAACACTAAACTTATTTACATGGCTCGAATCGACACGATTTTCTAAACCACCCCTCACACGTTCGAGTCTCCTAAAGTGTCTGCCAGTAGTGACGTCACGCCGCCGTCACCGCGCCGCGCTGCTGTCGGCGCGGGGCCACTTCGCAGACACGGCCGTCTTGGGGGGCAGCGGCGGCGGCGTCCTCTTGGCGCCGGCCGGCGCGAGCGGCCCCGGGGACGGCATGGCGGGCAAGCTCGCGAACGGCTTGCTGTTGAGCTCGGCGCACGCCTCCTGATGCACAGTCTCTTTCTTTGGCACGGGTTTTGGCAGGGTGGGCGGCTTGGTCGCCTTCAGCATCATCATCTCCGAGTTCCGGAACGCCTGGAGGCTCTTGCGGAACAGGGACACGGCCGGCGGCGCAGGCGTCGCGTCGGCCACGGCGGCCTCCGGAGCGACCGCCGCCGCCTCGGCCGTGGCCTCGGGGCCGGCGGGGGCGTCGTCGTCCTCCTCGGGCTGGCGCTGCTCCGCGCGCTCGGCGGCCGCCATCTCGTCCTCCAGGGCCGGCGGCGGCGTGCGCTCCAGCCTGGCCAGGCGCACCTGCTCGGCCAGGCGGTCGCGCGCCGCCAGCGCCGACTCCATCTGGAAGAGGTGGTGCTCGGCCTTGTCGTAGGCCACCGTCAGCTGGCTGCGCAGCGAGCTCACCGCCTCCTCCAGGGTGTCCACCTCCTCGCGCAGCTCGGCGCACGTCACCTCCTGGTCCTGCAGCGACCTCTCGCCCGTCGCGATCTGCGTCTTGAGTGCCGAGATCTGGAAACCCAACGAAACGAGGCAGTGAGTTTGGGTTCTGGGGCGTCCTCTTTGAAGGGAGCCGGGCGAAAACGATTTAAACTAACGAACGGTTGCACTCGGAGTTTTTTTGAAAACCTGAACGGACTTCCAAAACAGCCGAGTCTGACCCTGACCCTGACCGTCCGTTGGAATAAATGGCCCAGCCGCGCGGTCAGCCTCACCTCCGTGTTGGTGCGGTGCTCCAGGGCGCTCAGGGCGTCCTGCTTGCTGCGCAGCTCCTCGGCGAGCTCCTGGGCGCGGCGCCGCTCGGCCGCCAGCTCCTCGGCCAGCGGGCCGTCGACGCGCGCCTGCAGCTCGCACAGCGCCGTCCTCGCCGTCCTGGCGTCCTCGTGGAAGCGGTCGGCCTCCTCGGCGACGGCCTGCTTCTCGAGCTCCAGCCCTCGGATGCGGGTCAGCAGGGCGCGCTCCTGCGCCTCCAGCTCGTGCACGCGGTCCGACAGCGCCGTCTGGTCGGCCACCGCCTGGCGCAGCTTGCCCTCCGAGTCCTCCAGGCGCCGCACCTGCGTCAAGTAGGAATTAAAATTATCCGTACAAACGTTTTTTGCGGGATTTGTCTGTGAAAATTTCGGAAAATTTTGATAAATGGAAAAATGAGGAACTTTTTGCAAAACTTTTTTTGCATTTTTCTGTTGTTTTTTTCCTGGTTTTTAAATCCCCAGTCAAGCTACTTGTAGCTTGTAGCCTTCGCACACACGCAGTAGAATGTTTTGAGACGTACCTCTACGGCATCCCCCTACGCTCCTTACCTTTCTCCGGAGCTCCTCTTCAGCCTCCTCGGCCCTGCTGAGACGGCGCTTGTAGTTGAGCTCCATCTCGGTCCACAGCCCGTCGGCCGCGGCCAGGGTCTCCTGGAAGGCCGACTCCTTCTGCTCCAGGAAGGCGATCTTCTGATGCATGTCCTTTTCGGCGGCCACCAGCTGGGCGAGGCGCTCCAGAACCTCACTCTCGTTCCTCCTCGGCGTCGGTTCCCCGCCGTCCACCGTGTCCACTGACGAGTCCACGACGGCGTCCGTCGAGTCGTCCATGTGGTCGTCGTCGTCCTCGGTAGAGACAGCCGTGCTGCGCATGGTGCGCATAGGGACCGGCAGTGGAATCTCTGTTCTCTGGTTGCGCTGTGGTCGGAAGACGATACCGTTAGCATGTGAGTTGGGAAATGAATCCAGAATTAGTCTCGGCACTGAGCGCCTGTGTGTAGGCCGACCCGCCGCACTCCCGTGCGGAGGTACCGCCTACCCGCCAGGCGCTCCACGACTCCGCCACCGCTCCTCACCTTCTGCAGGTAGCTCTTATAGTGGGCCAGGTGGAAGGCGACGATGGCGGGCAGGGCCGACTCGACGGCCGCGATGGAGGCCCTGAGCTCGCACTCGGCCTCCTCGAGCTCGAAATTGCGCGTCTCGAGCGACTGCAGGGCCATCTCGAGGCGGCCCTGCAGCTGGTGCGCGGCGCTGAGGCTGCGGCGCGCGCGGCCCAGCTCCACCTCCAGTGCTCCTTCCCGCTCGCGCAGCTGCACCACCTCCACCTCGAGGTGCTGGCAGCGCAGGCGCGTGTCGTTCTCGGCCTCCTCCAGCTCGCAGCGCTCCTCCTCCAGGTCGCGGTTGCGCCGCACGAGCAGGTCGGCCGCCTCGCGCGCCTCTCGCGCCTGCCGCTCGAGCGCCGCCACCCGCTCCAGCAGGCGCGCGCAGCCGCGCAGCTCCGGGTCCGAGCAGCGCTCCAGCTCGGCCAGCTTGTCCTCGAGCAGCGCGGCGCGCGTCTGGAAGAACTCGAGCTCGCGCAGCTTGTGCTGCAGCTGCGGCGGAACGGCGGCGGGCTGCGCCGGCGGCGT